GGGCTTCTTTAGCTGCCTATCAAAGCAGTTTTGGCATTCGCTCGTTAGGCAGGAGCTGAACCAAGGGTGCTTTTCAGTTCTTTGGCTGTTCCCGTGTCACTTGGGAAGCTGTGGCTGGAGGCAGCCTGTAGGCCGGAGGCCAGTGGGGTGTCACATCTTCAGTGGGACCCAATAGTTCTCTCGTTTCTCCTGCCTGGACACATCCTCACCTGATGCAGGGCAGCTCACTTTGATTGAAGTTGTGCCTTTGCCCTCCCAGAGCTCTCAGACAATGTGGTGGTGCTTTTGGTGCTGTCGGTGTTAACCATGGGGCTCTTTCGGTGCTTTTAGGACCTGCTGGAGGCTTCAGAGGTTCCCAGCTCTGCTCTGCCTGGCTCTCTAAAATTAACCATGTAACCTTCCTAAAAATACTCTGAGGGCACCAGCCCCTGGAGGGCCACGAGTGCTGCTTGCTCATGGTTTCTAGAGCGAGCCATTGGAGGGATGAGGTCACCCGGCAACGCGTGCCTCGCAGCCCTGGAAAGCTCTTGTCTTCCTCAAAGCCTCCTGCAGGATGCCTTGTCCTCAGACCCCATGCTGATGGGGTGCAGTGGGATCCCGTGGCAGGGTTGGTGCTGACAGCCCATCCTGCATCATAGGGGCCTCCCCTGAGCCTCCCGGTGGGAGGAATAGCTGAGCCCTTCCCCTGCTCTTTTTTGAGGTGTGTGGGAGGAGGACGGGAAGGGCTGCAGGAGGAGGAGGAGGGAGGGAGGGAGGGAGCTGAATTTTCCATGAGCAGCTGCCTAAACGTCATCTCCTGTGTTGCTCGGGCTGGCGGCTCCAGCAGGATGGATTAACGAGGGTTTTGGGGAAAGCAGTAAATAGCACAGCCCTGCACAGGGGCCGGCTCCGAGCCCCAGCATCCATCTCAGCATCTGGAATGCAGGCGGATGCTCCAGCCTGGCGACCCACGCAGAAATGGCCCCAATGGCTCCATCCACCTGCTTCCCAAAATGTCACCTGGCAGTGGCATGAAGCCCTTTCCCTGCGGGTCACTGTGTCTGCAGCTTGGCCCCTCGTGGTGCCCCTCGCCCAGGTTTGGGGCCAGCTGTCCACCTCAGGGACCCCCGAGAGCATCGCCTCTGCCAGCTGCTCTCACCATGCCGAGCATTTGTGCCGACAGCTGGGGTGCAGCGCAGCCCCCGCCCTGCAGCCTCATCGTGCTCCTTGCTCTGCTCCAGGCGGGGGGGATTCATGCCTTTTCATGATGCTTTTTGTGTTGTTTTTCTCCCCGTCTCGTAAAACGTAGAGCTAGGAATGTCCTTGGCCCAGCCCAGTGCCGCTCAGGGGCCTCTCCCTGGGGTTTATGCCCTACATTTGTGCAGCACCCCGTGTCCTTGCCGTGGGGTCACAATGGGAGGGCTGCGTGCCTCTCTTTGCCCTCCTGGCGTGTCTCAGAGGGTGCTGCTGGATCTGGGGCAGCCGTTGAAAATAGCATCAAGCATGGAACAAAAAGGGGGGACCGCAGCTTTGCCGGTGCCTGTGCCAGTGCTGGAGAAAATGAGGTCTAACGGGGATGCGGCCCTTCCTGGCAGCTCGCTCCAGTTCAGGAGTCGCCGAGCGGAGCCGCCCGAGGACGTCACGGCTGACAATGGGGCTGGTGCAGGAGGGACGGGGCTGGCGGTGCCCGGTTCAGCCGGGGACGGGAGCGCATCCCACACAGGGAGCGGGCTGCGAGGCTATCTGAGCCCTCGCTATAAATACACCAGCAGGGTAAACACTCAGGAGAGGAAAAAATGCTATTTAAGCCAATGGGTGCTGCTGCCACGAGGTATGAATTGGTCAGGGGTAAATTTAGGCTGACGATGAGACGGCAGATTGCGATGGGCTCCCTGCTGCGGCCCATCCGGCTCTGGCCTGGGATCCTGTGGGGAAGGGGGTGCAGTCCATGGCTCCCTCTGCCGCTACCGAGTGCTCGAGTGCGAGGCATTCTCTGCCCCTCTGAGCTCCCTCCGTTCCAAGAACCCCAAAACCCCCCAGCCCCATCCGCAAACAGGAACTCAGTTTGTCCTCATTTGTGTACGCTCCCTTTCTTTCCTGTACAGGCTTTGCATATATATGAAAAAAGCTCTTAAGCGGCACTGCAGTCAAACCTGATCTGCTTTTAGAAGCCGGGTCCTTATGTTACCCTCGCCATCTCTGCAGGCAGGGATTGCTCGGCATTCTGGTGCAAACCCACGGCGATGGCTGCACGCCTTGGGCTACATCTGCTCAAACTCAGGGCTGAGCACAGAGTGCAGGAGCCCCGGGCACCTGCAGCTCTGTTGGGGTTCTGCTCTCGATCACAGCCGTGTTGCTCACAGCAGCGTGTGTGTGCCGTAAGGCAGAGTGCCCACGAGGTGCTGAGCTGGGTCCTTGTGTTAGGAGGTGCCTCTGAGGAGCTGGAGGGATGCAGAACTGTGGTCTTGGTGAGCAGAGAAAGGGGACTGCATTGGAGTGGGCTTAGAGAGGGATGGGGGAGAGGGATGAGCCACGCTGTCATTGAAAACAGAGCCCAGAGGACCCGGCGGAACTCAGGATGGTGTTGTGGGCCTTGGGGATATGGAATGGCTGCAGGCGCTTCCTGGGTGGACAGAGCTGGCTGTCGTGGGGGGGAGACACGTCCCTGGGTACTGCGTGATCCTCGCCCTTTAATGCCTGGGAGCAGCTGGGGCCACGTGTGCTGCACTCTGGCTGGCTCCCCTGCCCTCTGCGCAGGGCTGAGGGACGAGCGGCACGCCGGCTGGGTGGCTGTGCCTGTGCTGGCTCTGCGGAGCACCCAGAGCAGGATGAGCGTGCAGCCGGCAGGCGCAGCGTGGGGGCAGTGGCACCATGCAGGTGGGGGACCCTCCGTGCTCCCTGGGCGCGGTTGGGCTCTCCTTCCTCCCTCCTGGCTCAGGAGCTCTTCCCTCTGCTCTCCTTCCAGGTTTCAAGTGCCCCATTTGCTCCAAATCTGTGGCTTCTGACGAGATGGAAATGCACTTTATCATGTGTCTGAGCAAACCTCGCCTCTCCTACAACGGTAAGGGCTGGGGTGGGCACGGTGTCTTGCCAGCGTGGGGACGCCGTGAGCGGGCAGGAGGTGCAGGCGGGGGCTGCAGCGTGCCAAGAGGGCTGCGCTCCAGCTGCTCGCCGTGTCCACCGCTTTTCCTTGGGACCCTTCGTAGCACAGCTCTGTGCTGCTCACCACAGTGAGCCGTGCCCTGCAGGGCTGTGCCGTCCCGCTATCCTGCCCAGCAGGGGTGAAGGCAGGTGGGCTGAAGCCCAGCTTAGTGGGGAATGTGGGGCTGAGCCTCGCCCCAGGCGGGGACGCAACGCCCCTGTGTCACCGGTGCTCTCTTCTCCTCTCCAGACGACGTGCTGACCAAGGATGCCGGCGAGTGTGTGATCTGCCTGGAGGAGCTGCTGCAGGGGGACACGATAGCCAGGCTGCCCTGCCTCTGCATTTATCACAAAAGGTACGTGGGCACAGGGAGCCGTGGTGGCCGGGAGGCAGGGGCAGCCCTGCACTCGGCACCGAAGCTGACCCGCTGTCTTCTCTCCAGCTGTATAGATTCCTGGTTTGAAGTGAACAGATCTTGCCCAGAGCATCCTTCTGATTGACCTGCTGGGCCTGCTTGCTGACTTCTCTCTAAGGTGAGCCCACAGAGGGGTGGGGAGCGGGGGGTGAGAAGGGCTGAGCAGGAGTGCGGGTGTGAGCCGGCCGTGGGGCTGCGCTCGCTGTGCTGATGTGGCCTCGTCTCTCCGCAGGGCACCTTGCTACCTGCTGTACCTCCTCTCCCCGTCCCTCCTGCCCCGCCTGGACTTTTGGGCTGACGTTCAATTCCTCACAGACGACAAAAACTCAAAAAAAACCAAAAAAAAAAAACAAAAAAAACCAACCAACCAACCAGAAACTTGAACCCACTCGGGACAACGGCGAATTTTTTTATTTTCTTACTTTTATTTTCCATCTTTTTTTTTTTTTTAATTTAAACATTAGGAAAAAACCAACCAACCAACCAACCAACCGCAACAGCAAACCTTGCAACATCCAGGAGAGACAGTGTGAGAAGAGCAAAGCGACCCGCTCTCCCTGCAGCCACGAGGAGGGATCCAGCACCGAGGGAGCCGCCGTCCTCGGCCCGACGCTGCCATGATGTTTGGCTTTTGTCCCCGCGCGGAGCGGCGCTGCCGGGGAAGCGGCCAAACGGAGCGCGCGGCACTTCTCACCGGCTCGCCTGGCGCCCGCGGGCTCCGCTCGGTTTTTGCACTGACTACACGGGAATTTCCTCCTCTCTCCCGTTCTCCCTTTTGGAGATCTCCAGCCCGGCCCCGGCAGCGTGTGATGCGGACTCTGCCCCACGCCGGGAGCGGGGCCGCCGCTCTGCCCCATAGCGGGGTCTGTCTTTCAAGTGTTTACAATGAGAAAAAAGGAAAAAAAAAAAAAAAAAAAAGGAACAAAAAAAAAAAAAAAAAAGAAACAAAAACAACAACTACAAAAAAAAAAGAGAAAACCGACAAAACCGAGAAAAAAAAAAAACAATTATTATTAAATGAAGCTTCGTGTTGACTGGCGTGTTCTTCGATTTGAGCTTCCCTGCCCCGGTGATGTTTACAGACTGGTCACTCTTTAACTCAGCTATAACCACTCAGAGACTGGACAGCCGCAGCATCCCCGCCCCCCCGCCGTTGCCAAAACCTCCCTCCCTCCCATCGAACCCTTCGAGGAGGGGACCTGGGGGTCCTCCTTGGGCCCCGCCAGCGGCCGGCAGGTGAGGACCCCCTGTTTTATGGCCGTGCCCCCATCCCCGTCCCCTCCTGGCGCGGCGGGCGCGTTGTCGTTGGTGAGACCTCCCCTGCCGGTGGCCGTGCCCCCGCGGGAAACGTTTCTGTATTTATATATTAAAAAAAAAATGGGGGGGGGGGAAACGAGTTCAGAGCTTGGGGGAGCTTCCTTCATTAGTCAAGGTGTTTTGATATGGTATTAAAACAATGTTCAATAAAATATTCACTGTTATTTTATTTCACTGGCGTTCTTGGTGAAGCGGAGGACCTCCGAGGGGGGTACCAGAGCCCCCCCCCCCCAGATCCCCAAAAAGCAGGAGGACGGGTGGATGCGCTGTGCCCTGCTGCGGGTCGGGGCGCTCACAGCACCTTGCCGGGGTTCATCAGATGGAGGGGGTCCAGCGCGTCCTTGATGCGGCGCATGGCCGCCAGCCCCACGGCACCCCGCTCCTCGCGCAGCAGCGCCCGCTTGCCCAGCCCCACGCCGTGCTCCCCGGTGCAGGTGCCGCCCGCAGCCAGCGCGCGCCTGGGGACGGGGACACGGCTGTCATCGTGGCGCCGTCCCAGGAGCCCCCTGCCCACCCGGTGCTGCAGCCCCACCTGCCCAAGCGCTCGGTGAAGTCGTGCACGCGCTGCGCCTCATCCGGGTCGTCGGCACGGAAGACGAGGATGCAGTGGAAATTCCCATCGCCCACGTGTCCCACCATGGGGCCTGTGGGGACGGGGTGAGCGGGGCTTGGGGCTCGGCGCCCAACAGTGGCGGTGGTGCTCACCGGTGAGGCCGGAGTCCCGCAGGTCCCGCTGGGTCTCCAGCACGACGTCGGGCAGGCGGGAGATGGGCACGCAGACGTCGGTGGAGTAGCCCTGGGGGGGCACGGCTGGATGTGGTGCCGGGAACGGGCTCAGGGATGGGGACAAAGAGGGGACACGTTGCCAGACCTCACCTGGCAGCCGGGCCGCAGGGCCAGGGCTGCAAACCAGGCGCTGTGCCGTGCAGCCCAGAGCTGCTCACGCTCCTCCGGCGCCTGCGCCCAGGACAGGACAGAGCCACCATGCAGCTGCACCAGCTCCTCTGCGGTGGTGGGAGACGGTGACAGAGTGATCACAGCAGCTGCCAGTCACCATCCTGCACCCAGGACCCCACTGTGCCCCCACCATGGGCAGCCCTACCCAGTTCCCCCCCTTCCCCATCTCCGTCCCTACCCGCCTGCTGCTGCTGCTCAGCCAGGCTGCGCTGGGAGCCGTGCAGCTCCAGGAAGAGCATGGCCACCTCTGGAAGCTCCAGCCGACTGTAGCGGCTGCAGGCGCCCGCCATCACCTCGTCCAGGAGCTCTGCGGGGAGGAGGCAGCTGGGGACACTGCTGAGGTTGTCCCGTTCCCATCCCCAGTTCCTCCCTGTCTTCATCCCCATCCCATCTTCTCCACACTCCTTCCCATCCGTGTACTATCCCCATCCCGTTCCTGTCAGTGTAACCATCCTCATTCTACTTCTTTCCCATTTGCATCCTTGCTACCTCCTTGTCCTGCAAATCTCACCTATGTCCCCATCCCTCACCATCTCCCAGTCCCGTGCCTATCCTCAGTGCATAGAATCACAGAATATTTTGTGTATGAAGGAACTTTAAAGGCCCTCTCTGCTCGCAGTCCCTGCACTGAGCAGGGACACCCACAGCTCCATCAGCACTCACAGCCCCGTTCCCTGACCTTGGCTGTGTGCAGGGATGGGGCAGCACCAGCTCTGTGTGCAGCCTGTGCCTCAGCGCCCTGAGCACGAAGGACTTCTTTCTCAGCTCCAATCTGAATCTCCCCTCTTAGTTAGCAGCCATTTCCCCTTGTCCTGTCACAACACTCCCCACTCAAGTCTTTGTCCCCTTCTTTCTTACAACCCCTTTAGATACTGAAAGGCCGCTATCAGGTCTCCCCATCCCCATCCCTGTTATCATCCCCCTCCTGACCCCATCCCATCCCATTCTGTCTCCATCCCACTCCCACCCTCCCAGCAGCACCCACCAATGCGTGCCACAGGCACGGCCGCCTGCAGCACCTGCACGGTGCAGCCCACAGCATCCCGCACGCTGGGGAAGGTGCAGACAGCGGAGAGCACAGCCTCAGGCAGGGGGTGCAGGCGCAGAGTCGCCTGCGTCAGGAAGCCCAGGGTGCCCTCGGATCCCACAAACAGGGAGGTCAGGTCGTAGCCAGCCGCGCTCTTCCTGTGCAGGGAGAGGTGAGCGGGTGCCGGGCACCCCGACCCGTGGCCCCATTCCATCACCCCATACCTGGCGCTGCGCCCGGGCCCGGCGGTGTGCAGCAGGCTGCCGTCCGGCAGCACCACGCGCAGGTTGAGCACATTGGGCCGCATGGTGCCGTAGCGCACGGCGTTGGTGCCCGAGGCGCCCGTGGCCGCCATGCCGCACAGCGAGGCGTCCGCCCCGGGGTCTGCGATAGAGCCGGGGGACCCGATGTGCCCAGGGGTCGGCAGCACCACCAGCACGTGGCACCCCTGGGGCAGGGAACACCTGGGACCCCGCCACCCCCACCCTTGAGCACCCCCACCCCGTGCCTGCCTCTATTGCACCAAGCATTCCCCACAGCACCCAGCTCTGCGGGCACCCCCAGCATCCCTAGCAGCCCAGCCCTGCCAACACACCTTGTCTCGTGGTATCGCTGGCCCCATGGGCACTTCCATCCACCCCTGTGCTCCCAGCACCCTTGGCCACGTGGGAAACCCCGGTGCTTCCCCATCAGCCCCAGCCCTCCCAGTGCTCCCTGCAGTACTGGCCCTGTGTGCCCACAATAAACAAAGTCCCCAAGCAGCTCCAGCCATCCCAGCACTCCCAGCTCTTGCAGCACCTTTGGCTACATATGCAACCCCAGTGCTCCTAGCTCTATGCGCTCCCAGCTCTTCCCAGCGGCCCCAGCCATCCCACTGCTCCCAGTGCTCCCAGCACCCCTGGCAACATGGACAACCCCAGTTCTTCCTGTCCTCCCAGCACTCCAAGATCTCCCCAGCCATCCCAGTGCTCCCAGCACCCTTGGACCCATGGAATATCCCAATGCTCCTAATATTCCAAGATCTCTCCAACCATCCCACAGCTCCCAGTGCCCTTGTCCCTGTGATATAGCTTCCCAGTGCTCCCAGTACCCTTAGCTACATGGAAAATGCCCATGCACCCAGTATCCCAAGATCTCCCCAGCCACTCCAGTGCTCCCAGCACCCTTGACCCTATGGAATATCCCAATGCTCCCAGTATTCCAGGTTCTCCCCAGACACCCCAGTACCTCCAGCACCCTTGCCCACACAGGCAGCCCCAGTGCTCCAAGTGCTCCAAGTTCTCTGCAGCCACTCCCAGCCCTCCCAGTGCTCCCAGCACCGCAGTCCCTGTGGGGAAGCTCTGGCATCCCAATGTACCCAGCGCTCCCTGCACCCTCGGCCACATGGACAACGCAGCGCCCCAAGTTCTCCCCACATCCCCTGCCATCCCATTGTTCCCAGCACTCCCAATGCTCCCAGCACCCTAGACCCTTCAATCCAGCCCCGAGTGTCACCCCATGCTGCCCAGCACCCCCAGTACCGACGGGGAACCAGAGCCCAGTGCCGCGCAGATGGGCATTGAGAGCCTTGCGGGTGACGCCGGGCTCCACCGCCACCGAGAAGTCCTCAACGCTCAGCTCCGAGATGGCGACCATGCGGCTCAGGTCGAAGCAGACGCCGCCCTGGCACAGCACAGCATGGCACGGGCAGCAGCGGGCGGTGGGGGTGTTGGGGGGGCTGGGGGCTGCGTACCTGCACGGCGTTGACACCGCCCTCCAGGCCAGTGCCGGTGCCAAAGGGCACCATGGGCACACGGTGCTGGTAGCAGAGGGCCACCATCTCCTGCAGCTGCTCCACGTCTCGAGGCCACACCACGGCGTCGGGGGGTGCGCACCTGGAGTGGGGCACAGCTCTCATCGCCGGCCCCAAGGTGCAGCACAGCCCCACGGCGCTGCCCCCAGCCCCACCTGTGCATGGACTCATCGTGCCCGTGCTGCTGCCGCACCGCCTCTGCCACCGAGACGTTGGGGTCCCCAGCCACGGAGCGCAGAGCCTGCAGCAGGCCGGGGGGCAGCAGGCGCTGCGGGAGGGGGTCTGGTCAGCACGTGGTCAGGATCAGCGTGCGAGGGGACCCCTCGCAGCCCCCATCCCACCCCACCTGGCTGCAGCACCCGCGCCGCCCCACGGCCCCCGCCAGCCGCAGCGCGTGCCGCAGGGCCATGTTGGGCCTGGAGCCGTGCCCGGGGCTGCGCATGGCTCCGTGCTCCCCAGTCCCCTCCCGCCCAGCGTTAAGGTGGCTCCAGGCACTGAACGGAGGCCTGCACGGCGTTATCTGACCGCAGCCACACGGCCCTGCCCTGCGTGTTGGGGTCAGAGAGCAGCGCAGCTCTCCTGGTGGGCCCCACACCATTGCAGCCAGCTGTCCGCACAGCAGGCACAGCCCACCGTCTCCTCTCATACAGTTGTCTCTGTGCCCAACCTGGTGTTCCCACACCCAGCCAGCAGAAGCCCCACGTCCAACCAGGTGTCCCCACAGCTCCGTTGGCATCCCCATGTGCACCCACACGTCCTGCTCCTGGCCAGCGTGCACAGCCCAGGGCTGCAGCAAGGACACAAAGACATGTTAGGGGAGAGGAACTTTATTCGGGGCTTCAGTTGGCCGATATCACGGAGTCGATCCAATCGCGGAGCGCGGTGACACGCGTGTAGACAGCGGGCACAGAGGTGGAGCAGGTGCTGCTGCCCCACGAGACGATGCCCACCAGCGTCCAGGCGCCGTCCTTCTGGCACACCAGCGGGCCTCCGGAGTCACCCTGCAGGCAGAGGGGTGAGGATGGGGGCACAGGGAGCCGGGGCTTTGGGGCTGCGCTTTGGGGCACGGGGCACCCACCGAGCAGGAGGAGGTTCCGTCGGCGCCGGCGCACACCATCATGTTGTAGATGCGTAAGCCCCAGTACTGCTTGCACTGCGTGTTGGTGAGCAGGGGAAGGGCCGCCTGCTGCAGGATGGCCGGCGTGTCCGCATCTGTCGGCGAGCGGGAGGCATCCGTCAGTGCCGGCTCAGCCCGGGGCCGGGGGTAGAGACGGGGAGGGGGCCGCGGCCGCGGTACCGTTGGAGTTGAGGACCCCCCAGCCCGTGGTGACGCAGCTCAGGCCCCCGGGGAAGTCGTCGGTGGCCTCGGGCAGGCAGACGGGCGACACGCGGGCGTTCAGCTGCGCTGGCGTGGCCAGCTTGATCAGCGCGATGTCGTTGCGGATGGTCAGCCAGCTGTAGCTGGGGTTCCGGAAGACCTGCGGCAGCGGCAGCACTGACAGCAGCTGCCCCCGAGTGGGGCACTGCGTGCTGGGGGTGCGTGGGGACGGGCAGGGGGCGGGAGCCGGCCTTGGCACCCACTGTGCTCACAGCTGCCCTGAGGGTGGGGACCACCAAGCCAGCGCTGGAGGGGACCCCAGGACCCAGGCAGGGATGCCATCAGCACTGGGACTGACGGGGGCCCGGTGGGCAGAGCTCCATCCTTGGGGAACCGGGGACGGTGCTGGGACCCAAAGCCGAGTGCTACCAAGGGCCCAGAGGGACCCAGCACCACGATGAAGGACTCTGTGGGGACGCGAGCCCAGATACAAAGGGCAATGAGGACGACGAGGGGCCCCAACCCCGTGGACGCGGGGCGCCCATCCCCGCAGCGCTGCCGGCACTGAGCACGGCGCCCGCAGGCACGCGGCCCAAAGCTGGCAGTACCTTGGCGACGCCCAACCTCTGCTCGTCACTGGAGGACTCCTCCCGGTCGTACGCGCCCAGCACCACGGTGTCGGTGGTCCTGGGCAGGCAGGCGCTGAGCCCCGGGCGCACGGACAGCCCCGGTTCCGCGTCCACCCCACGGCTGCCCCGCGCTTACCTGACCCCGCAGTGCGCGGCGGTGACCACCCATTCCTCGTTGATCAGCGACCCGCCGCAGAAGTGGAAGTTGCCGTAGCGCTGCCGGAGAGAGCAGCTGTCAGCCCCACAATCGCCTGGCCCCATCCCCGTCCCCATCCCCGTCCCCATCCCCGTCCCCATCCCCATCCCCATCGCCACCCATTCCGGTGGGCGCTCACCTGCAGGGACACCTGCCAGGGCCAGGACCCGGGCACCGCCGGCTCCCCGTTGACGATGCGGTTGAGGCCGCGGATGACGGGCGTGATGGCGGGCACACCGCAGCCTGCGGGACGGGGACAAGCGTGGGGCCTCGGCCACCTCAGCCCCGCACCCCAAACCCAGCCCCCCACCCACCCGGCTCCCTGCCCTGCCCCACGCACTCGGCAAAGAGCGGGCGGCACGGGCAGAGCCCGCCAGCACCAGGCAGCCCAGCAGCCACAACAGAGCCATTGCCACTCACGGGAGACAGGCTGGGCACGGGCACAGCGCTTCTTATGGCCCCGCGCTGACCTTGTGCCGTGACCTCCAGAGATAGCGCGGCACCGTGTGGGGCCGGCACCTGGCACCACGGCCATCACCCACCCCTGGGAACTGCCCAGACCGCTGGGATGGGGACCAGCCGCTGCCAGGCGGCCTTCCAGGAAACGTCCCCAACGGGCACCGTGCCTGTGTGCACCCACTGCGTGCCGGGTGTGCCTGGCAGCGTGCTGCCTGTGCTGGAGGTGGGCCTGCTTCCATGCAGAGGGCTGCCGCAGCTGTGCTTCCGCTGTTGTAGGGCTGGGTCTCTGCATGGTGCTTTGGCAGACACAGGAGTTCAGCCTGCTGCATTTTGTCCTGAGCGTCAGGGCCCTGTGGTATCGCTTTTCCCTCACGCAGTGGGGATCACGTTCCTAGGGTGCTCTTGGTCCTCCTCATCCTTGGTTTTGGGTCTCTGTGGTGTACCCAGCACCAGTGATGGGATCTCAAAGCTGTCCCAGCTGTTCTATGCTCAGTCCAGGGCAGTCCAGCAGAGCCTTGAGCATCATCCCAAGGTGCAGGCCAGCAGCTGCTGCATGAGAACATTGGCCCAGGTGTCCCCATGGTCCCTGCTCCCAGCACTGAGCAAGCTACCCGTGCCCTCACTCCCACCATGCAGAAGTGCTTCCCAACGTGCAGAGGGAGCCCAGTACTCACTGCACCAGAGTGCAGTCTATTCCTTGGAACCACGCTCACATCCTGGCTCGGTCCCCAGCAACACCAGGGACACCATTCTCACTGCGGTGGCAGTAAACAGAGCCAGATCACACAGCTGGTGCCCAGCAGCACAGCCCTCTGCATGGAAGCAGGCCCACCTCCAGCACAGGCAGCACGCTGCCAGGCACACCCGGCACGCAGTGGGTGCACACAGGCACGGTGCCCGTTGGGGACGTTTCCTGGAAGGCCGCCTGGCAGCGGCTGGTCCCCATCCCAGCGGTCTGGGCAGTTCCCAGGGGTGGGTGATGGCCGTGGTGCCAGGTGCCGGCCCCACACGGTGCCGCGCTATCTCTGGAGGTCACGGCACAAGGTCAGCGCGGGGCCATAAGAAGCGCTGTGCCCGTGCCCAGCCTGTCTCCCGTGAGTGGCAATGGCTCTGTTGTGGCTGCTGGGCTGCCTGGTGCTGGCGGGCTCTGCCCGTGCCGCCCGCTCTTTGCCGAGTGCGTGGGGCAGGGCAGGGAGCCGGGTGGGTGGGGGGCTGGGTTTGGGGTGCGGGGCTGAGGTGGCCGAGGCCCCACGCTTGTCCCCGTCCCGCAGGCTGCGGTGTGCCCGCCATCACGCCCGTCATCCGCGGCCTCAACCGCATCGTCAACGGGGAGCCGGCGGTGCCCGGGTCCTGGCCCTGGCAGGTGTCCCTGCAGGTGAGCGCCCACCGGAATGGGTGGCGATGGGGACGGGGATGGGGACGGGGATGGGGACGGGGATGGGGATGGGGACGGGGATGGGGATGGGGATGGGGACGGGGATGGGGCCAGGCAATTGTGGGGCTGACAGCTGCTCTCTCCGGCAGCGCTACGGCAACTTCCACTTCTGCGGCGGGTCGCTGATCAACGAGGAATGGGTGGTCACCGCCGCGCACTGCGGGGTCAGGTAAGCGCGGGGCAGCCGTGGGGTGGACGCGGAACCGGGGCTGTCCGTGCGCCCGGGGCTCAGCGCCTGCCTGCCCAGGACCACCGACACCGTGGTGCTGGGCGCGTACGACCGGGAGGAGTCCTCCAGTGACGAGCAGAGGTTGGGCGTCGCCAAGGTACTGCCAGCTTTGGGCCGCGTGCCTGCGGGCGCCGTGCTCAGTGCCGGCAGCGCTGCGGGGATGGGCGCCCCGCGTCCACGGGGTTGGGGCCCCTCGTCGTCCTCATTGCCCTTTGTATCTGGGCTCGCGTCCCCACAGAGTCCTTCATCGTGGTGCTGGGTCCCTCTGGGCCCTTGGTAGCACTCGGCTTTGGGTCCCAGCACCGTCCCCGGTTCCCCAAGGATGGAGCTCTGCCCACCGGGCCCCCGCCAGTCCCAGTGCTGATGGCATCCCTGCCTGGGTCCTGGGGTCCCCTCCAGCGCTGGCTTGGTGGTCCCCACCCTCAGGGCAGCTGTGAGCACAGTGGGTGCCAAGGCCGGCTCCCGCCCCCTGCCCGTCCCCACGCACCCCCAGCACGCAGTGCCCCACTCGGGGGCAGCTGCTGTCAGTGCTGCCGCTGCCGCAGGTCTTCCGGAACCCCAGCTACAGCTGGCTGACCATCCGCAACGACATCGCGCTGATCAAGCTGGCCACGCCAGCGCAGCTGAACGCCCGCGTGTCGCCCGTCTGCCTGCCCGAGGCCACCGACGACTTCCCCGGGGGCCTGAGCTGCGTCACCACGGGCTGGGGGGTCCTCAACTCCAACGGTACCGCGGCCGCGGCCCCCTCCCCGTCTCTACCCCCGGCCCCGGGCTGAGCCGGCACTGACGGATGCCTCCCGCTCGCCGACAGATGCGGACACGCCGGCCATCCTGCAGCAGGCGGCCCTTCCCCTGCTCACCAACACGCAGTGCAAGCAGTACTGGGGCTTACGCATCTACAACATGATGGTGTGCGCCGGCGCCGACGGAACCTCCTCCTGCTCGGTGGGTGCCCCGTGCCCCAAAGCGCAGCCCCAAAGCCCCGGCTCCCTGTGCCCCCATCCTCACCCCTCTGCCTGCAGGGTGACTCCGGAGGCCCGCTGGTGTGCCAGAAGGACGGCGCCTGGACGCTGGTGGGCATCGTCTCGTGGGGCAGCAGCACCTGCTCCACCTCTGTGCCCGCTGTCTACACGCGTGTCACCGCGCTCCGCGATTGGATCGACTCCGTGATATCGGCCAACTGAAGCCCCAAATAAAGCCTCATTTCCCCGACACGTCTTTGTTTTTGTGCTTCCAGGCAAGCAGCGCTGCGCTCCGAGCCCCTCGCACAGTGCAGGGCCACTGAGCATGGGTTGGTGCTGGTGGCACAGGGACACACATGCAGCACAGCGGGACAGGCAGTGAGCAGCGCTGCTGTGCAGTGCCTGGAGCCACCTTAACGCCCAGTGGGAGGGAACAGCAGGGACACAGGGCCAGGCCCCACCGCTGTGTGCAGTGGGGCTGGTGGGGAATGTGGGACTGCAGCTGGGGGGGGATGGGCGGAGGGGCCTGAAGTGTCTATGAGGGGCCCAGAGGAGTCACTGAGGGGTCCCCGGGGTTCCCAGCCCCAGGGGTGCCATGTGGTGGCAGTGCTGCTGATCCTGGGACACGGGGTACCCTCATACCATTGCAAACAGACCCTGAGCAAATGCCCCACTGTGTGACACAGCTGCCATGGGAATATCTGGAATTGTACAAGGTTAGATGGGATGCGTGGAATACAAATGAGACGGTGATAGGATTGGCTACACAGACAGGGCCTGGGTGGAGATGGGACAGGGATGGGAGGGCTGGCAGGACAGGTCTGGGCAGAGGATGGGCAATTATTGTGTGGGGCCAGGGAAGGGACAGGATGGAAGAGAAAGGTAACGGTGACAGGGTGGACATGAGGACAGGAGATGGGGACACAGACAGGGCAGCCCAGCATGTCTTCTGGTTGCCTCATTCCTCCTAGCAGAGCTCCTGGGCGAGATGATGGTGGGCACCTGCAGCCACTACAGCCAGCTGGAGCTCCCAGTGCAGCCTGGCTGAGCAGCAGGGATAGGGGCGGGGGAAGGGGGTGCATGGGATGGAGCTGGTGTCACACGGTGCTGTGGTCCCCACGGTGCGGGATGCAGCTGGCTCCTGGGTGAGGAAGGTGACAAGCACTTGGGCACACAGGAACAAGGCTGGAGGTCACAGTGAGAGCTGAGGCAGGGAACACATGAATAGGGCAGGGGGGCTGGATGCACAGGGTCAGGTCTGTCCTGTGCACCAGGTACATGCTGGGGCACTGCAGCAGTCCTGTGAGCCCACACTCCGGCTCTGGGTGCCTGTGGCCCAAGGCTACCATGGTATCCACTGCCCTGGCACTGCCTCCCTCTGCACAGCAGCTTCATTGCAGCCCGGGTGTAGGTGCCAGATGAGCACAGCAAAGGTGGGTGGCTGTGGCTGTGCAGCACTGCAAATTCGCTGCTGCTTGTGCCCATGGCCAGTGCCACGTCCTGTTCCACATCAAGATGCTAAGAGCAAGCCCATGTTATTGCTCTACCATAAAGCATGTGGCATCCCAGCCACGCTCCAGCACTGCTGCTTTTTGGGGACAGGCCACCCCAGCTGCTCCCACAGGGTGCCCGCTCCCAGCACCGCACACACAGCCAGGCGCCAGGGAGATTTCTAGGCAAATCTTTATGCTGCTGTGGGACCAGGGGGCTGAGTTTTGGGGGCGGCTGCAACTCCATGGCTCCGGGAACCAGAGGAAGCTTCCCCAGTGTTCAGAAGGCACCAATGTCGGTTTGCATTTCAGTTACAGCCGGTACAGTGAAACCGCCAAGACTTGAAACGCAAAGGTTCGAGCCCCTCATCCCCCCTGGCTGCCCCTTGCCCCCTCCCCCATCACTCAGGACAGCACTCTTCATCTCCCCGCCGCTGCTCCTTGGCTTGGTCTGTCTGCGCCACAGCACTACAACAGCTGGCTGATGTGCCGACAGAGCCCGCAGCGTCGTCCCAGGGCACTGGGGCAGCCCCACTGCCAGCCCCATCTCAACTGGAGCAGAGGAACGAATACAGAAGGGAGAGACTGCGCCCCTGGCACTGCGAGCATGGCTCTGAAACCAACGTCGAGAGGAAGAGGAGGGAAGGGGACGATGGCCCCGGCCCCTCAGCCCTGCGTGAGTCTCTGTGACAGCTCTGTTACGCCGGGCAGAGGGCGGCGGGGGGCAGCGGCACAGGGCCATCACATGGCGGCCAGCTGGCCCAGCACCATCCTGAACTGCTGCGTGCTGTTGGCGAGGTCCTTGACGCGCTCCACCATGTCCTTGGAGGCGGCAGGTGACGGGTAGTGCAGCGCGGCCGCCTTGGTGCTCACCACGATCTCCTTGAGCATCTCGCACAAGAGGTTGCTGTAGTGCGTCACCTTGTGCCGCACGTCCTGCGCCTTGGCCTGGCGGGACAGCGTGTCGCCGATGAAGACGAGCTTGTGGGCGCTGAGGATGATGAATTTGCTGTGGGCCACGAAGATTTTCGGGGGCTGGTTGGTGCTGACGGCGGTGAAGAAGGCGTCGATGGCGTTGGTGAGCGTGGTGAGGTTGGCCTCGCACTGCTCCAGGTAGAAGAGGAGCAGCTGGCGGTCGGCGGCACACAGGGCCCCCCCGCCCCGCGCAGGGCCGTAGTGCTGGGGAGGGCTCCAGTTGGACAGGTCGTTGTCGATGGGCCGCGTCACCTCCTGCTCCAGACGCTCAAACTGCTTCAGCTGTGGGGAGAGATGGCTGTGAGGACGAGCAGGGCGGCCTCTGAGCCCCAGGGCAATGGCTGCGCCCCAGGGGATGCCGCACGGAACCAGTGCCCCAGTCCCCTCTGGCATCGGAGAAGAGCCAGACGGTGCCACACAGAGCCATGGGGGACTCGTGGCCGTGGGCTCACAGGGAGCAGGAGCCTAAACCTGCTGCCCTCCCCACCTCGGGGTCCTCACTGAGCCGTGCCCATTCCCCAGCCCCATTACCTGCTGGTGCTCCAGCTGGTCCTTGCTCTGCCGGATAATGTTGCCTTTCTCCAGCAGCTCTTTCTGCGTCTTCTCAAACTCCTCCTTGCCCTGAAAGCAAGGAAAAACCGTGAGAAGGGGGCAAACCACAAACCCTGAGCCCCCAGCCCCACACCAGGACGCCCTCAGTTCCCAGGGCCGCAGCAGGAGGGGGAAAACAAGACCCAAGCGAGGAGACACAAAGCCCATCCGTGCCATCCAGTGCCACAGGGTGCCCCCAGCCCGCGCCCACCTGGAGGTGCACGTAGTCGTAGTCCTCCATCCAGCCACTCTCGTGGTTCTCATACGGGCCCTCGGGTGACTCCTGTGCCAGCAGTTTGGGAGGGGAGGGCAGGGGCCGCGACTGGATGCTGCTGGCCTTGTCAGAGGGGTGTGCGGGCCCGTGGCCATTGCCCTCGGGCACCGGCTTTGTCCGTTTGAAGAGCAGAGAAGCATTGCCATGCAGGAAGGAGGCGAGCTGCTTGGTGTCATCAGGCACGCCGCGCGAGTACATGACGAAGAGCTCCAAGTCGTCCGTGCCTGGCTTGCCGGCCACCAAGGCGCTAGGGGCCCAGTGGCACGCGTCCAGCGCTTGGCTGTGCCGCCCCAGGGCCTGGTAGACCTCCTCCATTTTCTGCAGCTGCTTGCTGAGCTTGGCGTACAGCGAGCGGTCCGAGGCCTGGGCGGCGTTGCCCACCGCCCCCCGGGCGAACTCCAGCAGCTCTCGGAGGGCCGCCTGCACGCCCTCGGCTGCCCCACGGATGCCGGCAGCGTTGGCCTCCATGTGCTCGGGGCTGCGCCAGTTGGTGCTGATGAAGGACATGAGGCAGGAGACGGCGCCGCTGACGCCGAGCTGGAGCTTGGCCAGCATCTCCATGGCAGCGTCCAAGTCCATGGAGAACTCTCTGCCGGGCCCTTTGGCCGGCTCCTTCACGGGCACCGTGTCCAGCGAGGAGGTGGAGATGTTGCTGCGGGTGCTGCCCGTGCTGGAGGCCGAGAGGCGCTTGGTGTCAGCCGCCTTGGCCTCGCGGTCCACCTGCGGCGGGACATCGTAGATGTACTCACCCTCTGTGTCCACCAAGCCCTTGCCGGGGCCGTGCAGGTCCCGCGGCACGTCGTACACCTCCTGCGAGGGGAAGGCTGACCCCCCCAGCTTCTTGAGGCTGGGAGGCACGTCGTAGATCTCGTGGGACAGCGAAGGCTCGGGGGCGGCTTTCCCGGCTGCCGGCGGCACGTCGTAGACATCCTCCGGCAGGAAGGGCTCCTGCTGGGTGAGCACCGCGGGGTGGCGGGGGGGCTCAAAGGCTTTCTGCTTGGCAAAGGCGGGGGGCACATCGTATGTCTCCTCCCGCACGGGGCCGTCCGGCACGTCCTTGCTGACAGAGGGTGGCACGTCGTATACCTGCAAGGGCACCGCCAAGCAGCGTCAGTGCAGCTGGAGCCACTCGTGCACACCAGCCCCACTCCCACGTGCCGCCGCGTGGCAGGGAGGCAGAGCCGTGCAGTGCCCGAGGGTCCGGCTGCACCCTGCTGCACGTAAGCACTGGCTCTGGGCACGCTGTGGGCACATGGAAGGAGATGCGCTCGCCGCAGCCTGGCAGCACCCCCGCCCTCACGTGTCTCTTTTGGTGCACAAGTTTTCCCCGCGGAACTTACTGTTTGGTGCAGGTTCTTCTCCACGCTGGGGGGCACATCGTAGATCTCCTGCCCCGTGTCCTGCCCGTTGGGACCCTTGACTGCCATGGGGGGGGTGTCATAGACCTGCTGGGAGGAGACAGGACGGCGTGTCAGGGGCAGGAGAGCAGCCCCAGCACCCAACGCAGCGGGGACCCTGGTTCAGCCCAGCACTGGGTGCCGCATCCCCACAGCCTGTCACCCCGTTGCCACCCCACAGCCCCACGAGCCGCCCCACAAGCAGCCCCACTTTCCGTCTGACCTGGCTGGGCAGCGCACCGCGCACGGGCGGCACATCGTAGATCTCCTGGGAGCCCGAGGAGAGGAGGTGGCGGGGAAAATCGTATTCATCTTGCTCGCCCTTGGGGGAGTCATAGATGTACGCCTGCCCCACGCGGGTGGGCAGCAACACCTAGGAGAGAGGAGAACCGCTGAGCCCCGCACATCGCCTTGCTCTGCCCTCTCCGAGCCCATCCATCCTGGTGCCGGATGCGGAACGGCACGCTGCGATGGCCGGGCGGTGGGTGCCCACGCGAGGGCGCTCCCCGGCCAGCCTGCCGCTGTCACCGCGCTCAGTGCAGTGACGCCGGAGGGACGGAGATGAGATCACCGGTTATTTATAGCAGCGAGCCTCGGCTAGAGACAAAGCCCAGCCGGCACGGCCGCCCTGCGCGAATGGGAACGGCGACCTGGAGATTAATTTGGGTACCGAGGGACCCGCCGATGCCCGGAGGATGTGCCCAGATCCTTGCCCGCATCTCGGTGCAACGTGGTGCGTGGCAGCCACAGGAGGTTGTGGGATGCTCTCAAGCAATGGGGTGCCCCGGCCACGAGGCGCAGCGCTTGGTGGCCCCTTTTACTCGCTGGATCGGGGCCGTCTCCTCCCCCTCCTCCATAAGCCCACACCACAGAACGGAGCCCGAGCAACTCCCAGCCCCACGGCACCCACCACCACCGCACCCAGACCCCCGTCTCACCTTTCCCGAGGGCTTGGGCCCTTCCCAGCTCCTCGCATCCAAAGACGGGGGCACCTGGTAGATGTCTTGAGCCTGAGCCACCGAGGGAGGAACCTGGTATATATCCTGGGGGGGGCTGGCAGAGCCCACAGGGTACGCGTCCGCCGCTTGGCTCAGGGCCGGAGGCACCTGGTAGATCTCCTGCCCGGCGCTGGGGAAGGCGTGGGGCGGCGTCTGCTTCGGGTAGGCTGGAGGCTGCTTGGCCGGAGCCGGGGGAAACTGTCCGGTGGGCGCCGAGCCCGAGTAGAGGCCCTGCTGCCCCTTGCCGGGAGCCGGCATCAAGTAGACATTGTCCCCTTGGGGCACGTAGGAAGGGTGCATGGCGGTGTACTGCGAGGCGGGCGACAGCGGGCTGTACCCCCCTTGGTGGTGATACGGCAACGTGGGCTGCGGCGCCGGCGGCGCCTGGCCCTGCCCCGGCCCGGCCGCTTGCTGCTGCTGCTGCTGCTGCTTCTTGTCGTACATCCCCACCAGGATCTTGAGGCGGTTCCCCGGCACGATGCCCTGACGGCCGTGCAGGGAGCAGAGCCACCAGCCATCCAGGCCCTGCGTGTTGCGCTCCAGCACCGTCATGATGTCGCCTTTGCGGAAGGAAAGCTCGTCCGGCGACTCGGCCACATTGTCGTACAGCGCCTTGGCCAGCACGTTCTGCGAGAGAGCCCCGCGCCGGGGCGGGTCGGGAGTCATCCCGGCTCATAGGGCTGCCCGGCACCCGACGCGGCCCCGGCGCTCTTCCTCCTCGCTCCGGCTCAACCCATCCTTCCCGGAGGTGGTGCCGGGAAGGGGACGGACCCCCCGCGCCTCCCGGTTTCGGGGACCTCCTCTGCTTTTCCCTCCCCTTCCCGCCGGGGAGGAAGTGCCATGGAGGTGACTCAGCCCGCACAGAGAATTCCCCCCTGGCCGCCGGGCGGGCAGAGGGCACGCGTGTGTGTGTGTGGGGATGGGGGGGGCACGCGTGTGTGTCCGTGTGTCCGTGTATCCGTGTGTCGGTGCCCGCTGCCGGCCCCTCCCGCCGGGGATGCCGCGGTGCCCCGTGCGGTTCTCCCGCCCTCGGTGCCCTCCTGCCGCCGTGCTCACGGCAGCGCTCCGCAGCCCCGCAATGGAAGCGTTCCCGGATCCCCGCCACCCGCAGCCGCGGGACGAGCCGTGCCCGGAGCGGACGGGCAGCACCGATCGCCACCGGCGGTGCTTCGCGGCACGCCGTCCGCGGGGCCGGAGGGGGGGCGGTGGCGGTGACGGCGGAGCCGCGATCCGTTCCCGGAGGCCCCGTCCGCTCCTTCCCCGCCCGACGGCCCCCCCGCTCCCGGCGCTCGGGGTCCGGCCGCGCCGTTGCGAACGGAGCGGCGCCGATCGCCGCGCCCGGTCCGGCCCCCCGCCGCCCGGCCTCCCCCCGGCCCCCGCCGCCCGCCCCGCAAGGTGACCCCGCTCACCAGGTAGTTCATCTTCGCCCGGCGGGCGCGGCCCCGCGGCGAGCGCGGCCCTACTGCGATGCGGAGAGCCGCGGCCTGCGGCGGGCGGCCGGCCGGGATGGCGGTAGCGGCGGCGGCGGCCGCGCCGGAGGGATCATTCCAGCGCCGTGCCAGCCCGGGCCCGCCGGCCCCGCCCCGCCCATGGGCTGCGCCGCACCGACGGGAGGCGGCGCTGCGGCGGGAGGGAGCGGGGCCGCGCCGGGGGGCCGGGGGGGGCGGGCTCGGGGCCGGCGGTCCTATCGCCGTCCGTCGGGGCTTCCCTGCCCTTTTCGGGCTTTTCCTGCCCGTGGGAGGCACGAGGCCGCCCTGGGCGCTGCCCGTCGAGGCCGCGATGCCGCCCCGCAGCCGTCCGTCCCCTCGGGGGCGGCGGAGCTGCGGTCGCGTCCGCAGACCGCAGGCGGAACTCGGCGGCTTCCGCTCCGCGGTGACGGCGCGGGGCCGCAGCCTGGCACGGAGCTGCGCGGCTCCGAGGGTCGCCGACCGGCTGCCGTCCCGTCCCCGCGGGGAACGTCCCGTGCTGCTCCCAGCCCCGAGGGAATTCGGTGCCGAAACGAAAACTGAAGGGAAATTCCACGTGGAGCAATCGTGGGGAGGTGCTGCAGGAGCCCCGTTTTGTGTGCCGAGGGGATGGGGACAGGCTGTTCAGTGACAGCGCAGGAAGTGGTTTCAAACTAAGAGGAGAGATTCGGATTGGAGCTGAGAAAGAAGTCCTTCGTGCTCGGGGCAGTGAGGTGGTGGCACAGGCTGCACACAGAGCTGGTGCTGCCCCATCCCTGCACACAGCCAAGGTCAGGGCACGGGGCTGTGAGCGCTGATGGAGCTGTGGGTGTCCCTGCTCAGTGCAGGGCTGGGAACAGACGGCCTTCAGGTCCCTTCCAACTCAAACCTTTGTACGATTCAATGATTCCATGACATATCAGTGAGCCCAGCCCAGGACCGAGCGGAGGCTCTGTGGGACCGCTGTGGTAGGAGGGGGCGGCACTGGGCCCTGCGTGGGGCTGGAGCTGCCCCAATGGGAGCAGGGGCCCTGCACAGAGCCCAGGCTTTTGGCTTCTGGCTTTTGGCCGCTTCCTCACGGCTCCGTCCTTCAGAAAGCTGCCTCCCTTCTCCCGGAGCAGCAATAGGATTACACGGGACTGAGTCTCCTAGCAATGAACGGATAAATAAATCCTGTAAGGCAGCCGGGGATTTATTAGACTTCAATATTGGGGAAATAATGAGGACATTCCTCTTGGCTTGTAATATCACGGGACCCAACAGGATCACAACAGGGCTTTATCCCCGCTCCTTTCCGGGTGCTGGGCACACGTTCACCAGGGGCAGAGATGTTTTGTCAGGCTGCAGCCAGCCCTGCTCCTTCCCAAAGGGCTGCCCATGCCCTGGCACAACCCACAGCTCGTCCTGGGAGAAAATCGCCATGTTCCCATTCTCTGCAGCCTGCGCAACGGGGAGCCGGGATGGATCCCACATGGGACCCCACAGCGGAGCCGTGGGGCGGGCGCACACAATGGCAGCCTTGTTTGGGGCCGAGCACAAGGGGCCGTTCAGCACTGCCCAAACAGCTCCCAGCCCACGGGGATGCGGCGGTCATTCGGGGGGAGTTCAGCTGGGGGCTCTGGGCCAGGCCCTGCGGGAGGGCAGGTGGTGGAAATAGCAGAGTGCTTTTCTATTGCGTTTTATCCCCCCTCCCCTTTTTTTTTTTTCTTTTTCTTTTTCCGATTCCTAAGCAGCCAAGCTGTGTTTTTTGCAGCCCTGTAAATCACTCCTCATCTTCAGGAAAGGGAGGCAAGAAACACATGATCCAAGCGAGGAAACATGCAGGACGCCGGGGAGAGCTGGCAGAGGACAGCAGAGCTGAGCCCTGTGCTGGAACTGGAGCTGCCACCTCCCGCCAGCCCCCACCCTGCCTGGGGTGCAGCAGGGCTGGGACAGCACAGGGACGGCCTGGGATGGGGGGCAGAGCACAGCCATTCCCCGCTGCTATGGTGGAAGTGCTGGGAGGCGCAATGTCCGTCCCAGCAGCCCCGCTTTGGTGCCGTCCCATTTCAGGCTCGTTGAAGCAGGTTGATACGCCCTGCGTGTAACGCGGCCAAGGGCTCCCCGAGCACGTGGTGTTTTGTTCATGTCCATCTCCAGCGCATCCCCAGCACAAGGGCTGACTCAGCAGCCGACACGTGAGCCCGGAGCTCAGCCCAGGCTCGGGGCCGAGGCACGGGGCCAAGGCCGGCAGCGAGGACGGTGCTGGCGTGGAACAGTGCAGGAGATGGCCGTGGCTGCCCCTGCCCTGCAGCATCCCACGGGGACGGCCCAGGGAGCTGGGAGGACCACGGGCACACAGACACCACGCAGGGATTCCCACAACTGTGGTCGCACGCTTGTAACAGTGACCCTCAATTTCTCTGCCCTCTGCTTCCCAAAGCAGCCAGGCTGTGAGCACACGCAGCTCCAGGATGGAATACTTTATTCACGTGAACAGACCCTGGCCCGGCCTGCCTGCCGCAGCTGCTCTCAGCTCCTCGATGGAGCGAACAAGGGAGGATTTCTTCATCGGCTTGCTTCAAAACCCCCAGCACCATCAGACCCCGCAGACAAGTGCAGACAGTTCGGCTTTGTCTGGGCAGGAGCGAGGAGGGGCAGGGGAGGCTGCAGAGCTGGCAGAGCAGGGAGCAGGGCTCCAGCCCCACAGCCTGTGCAGCAGCCACAAAGCCTTCCTGCAGCCCCTCTCACCACCGCACACGTCAGCAAAGCTGGATTGTGGTTTGCGTGTGAGCACGGCAGCACCCAGCAGTGGTGAAGGATCAGTGCCACGGGGTCACTTCTATCGCCTGCCAGGTGATGGGACCCTCATGGCACACCCTGCCCACAGACAAGCACCCTCCCCAAACATTACAGTAAAAGGAAAAACCTGCTGAGACGTGCAGGCTTGGGTAGAGAACAGTTTCCGTGCCCTGCGGCCAGGCAGGGGCTGGCGTCCCCCAGCTGGGGCACAGAGCCAGCGGGACCCCACGGCCACCCCTGGCCGTCACGGCTTCATCCTGCTCAGTCTGATGTCGCGCTCGATCTCAAACTGCCTGTGGTCCACGCGCTCCAGGAACGCCTTCCTCTCGATGTACCTGCAGGGAGCAGAGCAGAAGTGGTGTGAGCAGCACCTGTGGCTGGGACAAGGGGACACGAAGGGACGGGCAGAGGGAAGGGGTGCCTGCCTCTGCCCTCCCGCTCTGTGCATTGGGCATCTGCAGATGCTAAGCACTGCAAGCAAGGAAGCGAGCACAAAAAGCACCTTGCTGCTTGTTTATGCCATGCAGCTGAATTTTAATGCACTTTGCTGCAAACCCTTGCCACGGACAGCCCGGGGCTGTGCTACTAATTAACCTACAGAGGGAGCGAAATTGCAATTCAAAACAGGAGCAGTAATTGAATCATCACAATTGTTTTGCATTTGTTCTGCAGTGGCAAACACTCAGCTGTCACCACAAGGTCATTGTGCTCAGGCCCAGATCGGCACAAGGCACGCGAGCCGCTGTGCCCGGCTCGTCCCTGCCTGCAAGCAAGACCAAGAGGAAGGATCGGCATCGCCGTGCCCTTCCATGGCTTCATCCCAATTTGTGTCGGCAGCTGAGCTCCCTGTGTCGGTCCCCACATTATCCCTGCCACCTCGTTTTCACATCTCAGCCCGCCTCGCGCTGACAGAAGTGGGTCAGCTCCTTGCTGCCGTGCCCAGCTCGGTGTCACCACTCGGTGCCACGAGGATGATGGCTGGCCTTAGAGGGGGCTCCGCCTGGCCCAGGCAGGGTGAGTGGAACGCGTGCTGAGACCCCCACCCCACAGCGGCTCAGGAAAGGCAGAGAGGGAGTGCCGCTTCCCGTTGTCCCCACGAGTGACCCGTGCCTGGAGCAGGCCAGGAGAGGTGAGGGGAAGGAAGCTGGGGGGGTTCCTTCGCAGATCACAATGTCACGCTGCCTGGTTTTCCTCCCCCTCCTTGGCTCAGCGCAGACCACAGGCACGGTCCATGGGGCTGCCGAGAGCACAGCCCCCTCAGCAGGAGGCAGCCCCTGGGCAGAGGCTCACTCCGAGGCACCGATGCAGATCACAGGCCAGCAACAGCCAAAGCAGGAACCACAATGTCATCCCAGGGCCGGAGAACAGCACCGTGGGGAACACAAAGGAGTAAATCATCAGCAGGCATGGAAAAGGGCAGCTTTGATGAACTGCAGGCAGAGGGGGTGCACCTTCTGGGAGAAGAGGCTGCCCCTGCTAACGAGGGTGCTGCGGGGCTTCCGCGGGTGCCTGCTGTCCCTGCCACTCTCCATCCATCACCAGGGTGAGCCCTCAAGTGCTGCCCGCTGGGCCTGCCCTACAAAGCTGGCCCCATTTGGAGGCTGCTGTACATTTCCATTTATAAAAGACATCAGAGTGACAGAGTGACTGCTGCATCCCTTCCCAGCTCCAGTCCCTCCCTGCAGAACCAGGACAGGTCCCTGGGGTCTGACACAGCCTGCAGGGTAAAACGGGTGTGGGACAGAAGATACGAGGAGCAGAAAAGCAGAGACGAGGGCAGGTGGGTGCAGGCAGGGGACAGCAGGTGTCCCCCCGCACCGCGGGCAGCATCAACAGA